AGCACCAGCGAATAGTAGTTCTTGAAGGTGGACACCAGCTTGAAGGGGACACGGGGTGTTAGTGAGCAGGTCACTTGCCCGTTGGCACCAGAGTCACGGTCGGACACGCTGATAAGGGCAATGACAGTTCCCACCTGAGCATCTTCTCGCACCGGGAGTGACAGAGAAGTGATAATCACCATAGGTGAATTATCATTTTCATCCAGAACTTCCACTAGTACGGTGCAGTGACCAACCATAGGTGGGTTTCCTTTATCTGTAACATCTACATGAATTTCATAAGTGTTACTGTCCTCAAAGTCAATTGCATCATTTACTCTTATTTCTCCCGTTTTTTCGTTCATTAGAAATTTACTCCTTATGCTGGGTGGAACCAAAGCACTAAATGAATATATCATTTCCTTGTTTATTCCTTCATCTGCATCAGATGCATTTAGCCATATTACTAACGTTTGGTTCGCTGAATTTTCATACATCTTTACTTCATAAACGGATCTGTCAAATACAGGCTCATTATCATTGGCATCCAACACCAAGATCAGCAAAGTAACCGATCCAGTATATTCCGGTTTGCCTCCATCAGTTGCGGTTAATAACAATTGAAGCTGAGGGTTTTCTTCACGATCCAGCATTTTTCTTAGAACAAGCACTGGGAATTTGCCTTTGTCTTTTTTGTTTATAGTATCAAGAATGAAAAACTCATTTGGACTGAGTCTATAGGTAAGCACTGCATTCTCTCCAACGTCCGCATCAGATGCGCCTTCTAGCGGAAACCGAGAGTCAAGCAGTCGAGATTCGGGTATTGAAAGCTTTTGTTGTGAGACGGAGAAGACCGGCGGGTTGTCGTTAATGTCCTTCACCTCCACCTCCACATGGAAAACCTGCAGCGGCCTGTCCACGATCACCTCCAGGTGGATGCTACACTCCGCGCTCCGCCCGCACAGCTCCTCCCGGTCGATCCGAGAATTCACAAACAAAATGCCATTCTGCAGATTTACCTCCAGAAGGTCCCCGTGACCTGTGGACGCCACTCGGAACAGGCGCGGTACGAGCTCCATCAGTTCCAGCCCCAAGTCCTGGGCGATGCGGCCCACGAAGGTGCCGTGTTTGGCCTCCTCCGGGACAGAGTAGTGGAGCTGGCCGCTCCCCGCCTTCCAGGCTGCGGGAAGCAGAAGCAAGAGAAGCAGGCGCAAAGCTTTTGGGTTGCTGGGTGTGTAGACCAACATCGTATATTTCTGCCGATTTACAAATTGATGAATCAGCGGTCTAGAAGAAACATGTTCTCTGAATTTTCCTATTCGACTTCTTACATCTAATTTTGTCATAAATGGCTGAGGTCTGAGAACGTAGCTCCTTTCCAGTCCTTGAGAAACGGGATTATGCCTTTGTTCTAAAAAACATTTTATGGAAGACAGCGACATCCGGTGGCTGAATGTGTAAGTACAATTCCGTGCGTTTAACTTGTCTTTCAGTCATAGCTTTTCATTCTATTTTGACGGATTTGTATCTCTAAAGATCTCCAAAAGTTCACATGATGTCTCTTTTGTATAAAACAATAATTACTGCATACTCCTAGTTCAGAGTCTCCTGAGTGGAGAACCTCAGAGAAGTAATTTCTTCCCCAGCAGTGATTATCATTAGCTATTTTGGAAAACAGTCTTAATATTTGTATATATTGATTATTAGTATTTTACTGGATGACAATTTTAGACCAGTTCAAGTTTTTTAAAGATCTGATTTATCTGAGAGCGAGAACGAGTGGCGGGAAGGAGCAGAGGGAGAGGAAGAAGCTGACTCCCCATTGAGCCAGGAGCCTGATGAGGGACTTGATCCCAGAACACTAGGATCAAGACCTGAGCTGAAGGCAGGAGCCCCAAATATTTTCAAGGTTTGATACTTAATTAATTTCTCTTTGTCATTATCTGAGATTAAATAAAATTTAGTAGGCACTAATCTGAAGAATCAATTCTCTAAATTGTTTAAAACTCCTAAATTTCAGTCATCACTAGTTGGTTGAGAGAAGATCACTGGCTTTAACATCAGAAATGTCTCCATTCTGGTTCCTGTTCTTATACTTACTAGTTGTGTGACCTGGGGAAAATAATTTTATCTCCCTGTCTCTTTTCAGTTTTATAACATTCATACAATAATAATATGGTGGTTGTATGAATTATGATACATTAAATGCCTAGGATTGTACCTTAAGGGGAGTGAGTGGTTCATAAATGGCAATATTCTCAGGCCTCAACTTAGCCACATTTATTTTCATATCGTGTCAAGACCACAATAAGCTTTTTGGTAAAAAAATTATTACCTGTAGAATATTATAACTGTGCAATGTCTTTACTGTTACTACTGCACAGGCTGACTGGTGGTTCCAGTCTTTAGGAAAACAGAAAAGTACTTTTAGTGAGAAATCAGTTACACAGGGAGAAGTTTCGCTTTCTGATATGCATCTTACATGGGCAAAAATAACCTTAATTGTGATTCTAAATAAAATAATTCAAAAATGTATGATTTCCACTTGCAGAGACAAGTGCTTTCACCTTTGTTATATTTAATCTTTTCAAGGATCCCAATTACAGTTTTGGAATTATCTAATAGTTCTATCAGTGTCAATAAAGTTCTTCATCACTACCTGCAGTAAAAATATTTTGTTTCTCAAAGTTCTTGGAATCAAATATTCAGCAACTGAAATTCTCTTTTAATATATCTACACTACTGAAAAAAAAGAGAGAAAATTCTCTTTTCCCAAGAAGGGAAAACTTAATAATAGGAACTTTGGTCTTATCCAAAGGTTAATTTATTTACTTTAATGATGTTGTGATTTATAAAAGAGATAAAAATTATGAATTCTTTCAGTTGTTATTAAGAGCTGAAAAATAGAGCAACATTTATGAACAAGAAAATTGACAGGCTTGAGTCATTTAATTCATTGATTAATCTGCTCTACTGAATTTTTTTATACTTTTCTACTGCTTTATATTGATCTTAGTTAAAGTCCATTTAAATTCTGATTTTAAGGGTATTTTTCTTGTAAAGTATGAATTAAAGTTGTGGATCCATCCACAATACCAATCAATGTTTAGTCTAAGTTATTATCTGGAATCTAATAATAAGTTTATCAGTGAATAATCATCTTAAGACAAGGTAATGATATAAACTAAACTCCATTCCTGTTAATGTGCATTTTATAGCAAGTAATAACATAAAGGCACCAATTAATTCTTCAATAACGAATAGAAAGTAGTGAATAGTGAAATTATATCCTCTCAAATAATAAGAACTTGGTTTGCCAAGCATATCATAGAGCTATTGGATCTAAAGCTTTAGTTGAATAACAACCATCTAGAGTTGTTATTAAAATGCAAATTTGCCAGTCCTAATTATTTCAGAAATGTTGGGATGGAATCTGGGAACCAGAATGTTTAATAAGAACTTCAGTTGTTGCTAATGCACTTAGCATTATCAGGTCTAGGATAGGATAGGCTGACTATAGGCCAAAAGTTACCTGGGAAATAGTCCATTTATGTCTGTGGTCTTTCTTGTCTACTTATGTATAAAGTCCCCTCACTCTTAAGTGTCTAAGATTGGGTGAGAACTTAGATAGTTAGCCCTATATAAAAACTACAGTTTAAGGACTGGCATAGGGAAGTTTCATTATTAGCTTCATGATTGCTCCTTGAATTGAAGAGTTTTAACCACAGAAACACAGAGAGCTAGCTGCTGAGCAAAATACCGAAGTGTCTTCCATGCTCTCACCCCTCTGTTTTGACTTTCCAAGCTGTTTTAAGTCCTAACATCTCTCGATTACAGTGTGCTCATGCTTCCTGATGATGTAAAAGGTAAATTCATTGCTAGATGTTCACTGATCTTCTGAAAATTTGCATATGATGATAGCCCATATTCAGGAGAAAACAAATATTAAGAACAAAATTACCAATTATATCAATACAGCCATCAATAATAAAGAATAAAATGTATAATTATAGAAGACATAGTAAATAATAAATCATACTAGCTCTAAGAGACTAAAGGAGTGGGGGAGGGTGGTTGAATTTCTAGCACTCTTCAATCCATAAATCCACATAACATATAATCAAATATCTGGGCCCAATTCATTTAATTCATTGATTCATCTATTCTGATAAATTGTTTTTATACTTCTCTACTTCTTTAGACTGATCTTAGGTTAAAGTCCATTCAAATTCTGATTCAGTTGCTCTTGCACATGAAAAAGTGCAAGGACAAAGATATTTGATTTAAGGTGAAATATGCTGACAGACATGGACAGGATTGATCACAGGAGTTGAGAATACTCAAATTTTGAAAGAAATACAATGCAAAAGGGGCGCCTGGGTGGCTTAGTCCTTAGGTGTTTGCCTTCCACTCAAGTCATTATCCTAGTTGGGATGGAGTCCCGCATCCTGCTCCCTGCTTGATGGGGAGCCTGCCTCTCCCTCTACCTGCTGCTCCCGCTGCGTGTGTGTGTGCACGCGCGCGCTTGCGCGCTCTCTCTCCCTCTCTCTGACAAATAAATAAATCTTTTAAATAAATAAATTATATATATATATGTATATATATATATATAATGAAAAGAAAATAAACTGCTTTGTAACATATGCCAAACATGTCCTCTAAAAGGGAAAAGAAAATATCATTGAAACATATTATTTAAGTGAATTTTCCTTGCACTTTCATGGTTTTATTGTGGCTTTATTCTCAAAGCTACTCTGATTTTGCTCTCCTGAGTTTTTAATTAAGGAATATCTTGTTAAAAATCTAACACAATAAAAAATACTGGAATAGAAAAATAAGTCATGTAACAAAACTCAACATAAGTACAAATGAAGTTTCTAAAATATTAATTAGAAAACAAAAACTTGGACTAAATACAGTATGAAGAACCACCAATCTGAAAGTCATATGTCACAATTCAGGAAATATAAGTTTAATATGTAATGAGTTTAAAGGTGCAATTGACCATCTCCAGATTTCTGTCTTTCAGAATATTGAGAGAAAAAGTAAATCATCATCTCCCCTGATAGGGGTAACTTTTTAAAGTTATAGAGTAAATTTCAAGAGAATTCAAAGTTTAGAATGTACATATATCTGTAATGCACAAACATGTATGTATACTAACAAAAATTTCAGTAAAAGTAAAAAGTCTTTTGAAAAAAGAAAATACCTCAAGGAAGGATTTTCTCCAATATCAGATAAAAGATTAATTTCAAGAAATTTTCTAAATGTAAAAAAGATTCTCAATCAATATACCACAATATTCTCAACCAATTATATAGAAACATATTTTACAAAAGTTGAAATGAGAGTTATATTTCTAGCATTTGTTGTCATAATTAGACTCCTAAGGTAAAGTAACTGTTTTCTAGGATATACTGAAATTTATTCATTGAAATAATAAACATTGAGTAGTGCTGGCCAACCATGCCTCTAGTCTCCATCCAGAGAAAGGTAGAAAAGTACAGTTATGTATTTCCACTTTGGGTTTCTTTTAGACAATAGATTATATACTAAAGTATCGTGCAAACTTTAGAAATGAGAGGCATCTGGATGGCTCAGTCAGTTAAGCATTTAAGGGTATGCCTTCTGCTCCAGTCAGGATCCCAGGTTCCTGAGATCCAGCTCCCATATCCCAGCTCCCCACGGAGTCTACTCCTCCATCTCCCTCTGCCCCTCCCCTCTCTCGTGTTTGCGCACACAGTCTCTTTCAAATAAATAAATAAGATTTTCTTTTTAAAGAAATGAATAAATGATGGACTGGTGTTGAAGTATACTTAATGTGTAGCAATTAAGTTGCTTTTCACTGAATAGTTTTCAGGTACAGTGGCAGCACGGCTTTAGGAATTCAATATGACTCTCATGACAGGTTTTAAATGAAATTGATTCCATCACCCACTATATATTACTCAATGTATGGTTTATAATGATTCATAATTGGAAGTCAAAATACAAAAGGCAGGTATAAACTTAAAGTATTCAACTTCTGAATAATAAATAAGAAAATATTTGCAGGGGCACCTGGGTGGGTCAGTGGTTTAAAGCCTCTGCCTTCAGCTCAGGTCATGATCTCAGGGTCCTGGGATCGAGTCCCACATTGGACTCTCTGCTTGGCGGAGAGCCCGCTTCCTCCTCTACCTCTCTCTCTGCCTGCCTTTCTGCCTACTTGTGATCTCTCTCTGTGAAATAAATAAATAAATAAAATTTAAAAAAAAAGAAGAAAATATTTGCAGATCTCTAGAATAAATGAGTAAAAACTATTCAGAAGACCCGTCTGCAAATAAGAATGTCTTTCACACTTCAAAAATAAATATATGAATGAATAAAATATTTGAGTAACCCACCTTTCCAGAGGACTCCAAAGAAGCTTCTGAATCTTCCCTTGCATTTAGAGATCCAGGACATGGAGGAAGACTGGGACTGAAGGCCATGAGGTCGGTCTTGGGCGCGCCCTC